GGGGTGTGTAGCCTGCGAGCTGGAGGAGCGAGACGCCGCTGTGTGTGACAATGTTCTCCTGGACGGCGATAACGTCGAGGTGGCCGACTCGGGCAGTGGTCTGGTCGATGAAGCGCGCGACGGCGGCGGGGGGAGCGCTCTCAAAGGCCTGGGCGTTGAAGGTCATGAGGCTGAACGTGGACATTTTACCTTTTTTTTTTTTCTTGGATGTGTGTGTTTTCAAAATTCATGTGTTTTGAAAAGAGCAGCACGAACTGCAATGTTTCGGAAATTTGTTTTTTGAGCCATGTTTTTGAAGCGTGATTTTTGAAATTTGAAATTTGAAATTTGAAATTTGAAACCTGTTTTTTGAGCCATGTTTTTGAAGCGTGATTTTTGAAATTTGAAATTTGAAATTTGAATTTTGAAATCTGTTTTTTGAGCCATGTTTTTGAAGCGCGATTTTTGAAATTTGAAATTTGAAATTTGAATTTTGAAATCTGTTTTTTGAGCCATGTTTTTGAAGCGTGAACGTTGAAACCTTAATTCATGTAGCCGGAGCGAGATCCGTGTACGTATACGAGTCGACAATCGGCGGCTGTGGCTGGCGGAGTTTCGGCGCTGCGCGCTGCGGCGCTGGACGTTCAAGACCAATGTCCTTGGCCCGCAGCACCCTTGGGGAGCGCGGTGGCGTCCCTGTATGTACAGATGCATATGGAGAGGTCCCCGGGGACCTGAACGCGTCCAGCTCCGTGTACGTGCCGTCCGCATCCATCCACTCCGGGCGGCTCCTGGTGTTCTGCCTCATGACCACGGGGTCGACTGTGTACATGACCGTGCTGGGGCCGATCTTTGTGCTCTTGAGAACCTTCAGGATAATTGGGCGCGGCGCGGTGGTGGTCTGCAGGGTGACCATGAGCGAGCTGCGGCCGCCGCCGGAGGCCTCGAGGTCGCGCGCCGCGGTCCACGGTACTGTGACGATGTCGGGGTAGGTGTACGTCCCCGTCACACAGTGCGCGGTGTGCGAGTTCCGAATGCATACCTCGAGGGGGTCGGTGATGTGGAGCGCGTGTGTGGTGCTTCGGGCACAGAGCGCCTTCTGGATGGTCAGTGGGACCAGGGTCTTGCCGTGACACAAGTACACGCTCTGGTTCTTTTGACACACAGTGTCGCCCCCGACTATGAGCGTGGACGGCGAGACGAACAGGTAGTCGAAGCCGTCGGGGGCGGGGGTTGGGCTCGCAGGGGGCTTGGACTGGAATCGTTTCATGTCCCCAAACGTATGGGTTTTAAGGTTTTAATAAAAAAAAATGTTTGTGTTTAGGGTTTTTTATTTAGCATACTATTTCTTTTTCGCTGCGCCAGGTTTTCTCCAGCGAGGTGTTCGCGTAGACCGTCTCAAGCAACGCCGTGTGGTCGACCCCAGTGGCCACCTCAACCGCCTCTGCGGTCTCACAAAAATTGCGAATCATGCTGGTGGTCAAGAAGCGCTTGGCCAGCAGCACCCGCTTCTTGAGGCGCGGGCTGCGGATGGCCCCCAGCAGCACCATGGCGGTGAACGCGTGCCTAGCCAGGAGATTGGCGTTGTCCACCAGGAGATAATCTCGTAGTCTGACACTAGCGGAGGGACCTCCTGCGCAAGCGACTCAAAACGCATACCGAGGTCCAGGATGATGTCGCGGTCGACGGCCTCGCCCTCGTCCAGGACAAGCGACGGCGTTTGCCGGACCAGCTCGTCCAGCTCGTACCAGCGCTTGGCGCAGACCTCCTCGTCCTGGAGGAATTCGACTAGTCTGTTCATCACGCAGGACCAGCAGGCTTTGGGAGCGTTTTTCCGCGGCTTCAGCACCGGCGGCTGCTTCGCAAAGACCTTCTCGGCCCACAGACACACCCGCAGAGCCTCAGCCTCCAGGTCCATGCCGATGATGACGGCAATGTCGTCCGCGAGCTCGCTGGCCACCTCGGCCAGTGGCCCGGGGCGCAGGCTGTTGAGCAGCGCAAACGTCTTGCACAGGGTGCCAGGGCTGAAGTTTCGTGCGTCCGATAGGACGATGCGCGCAAGCACAATCTTCTTGTAGGGGGACACCATGTCGTCGTCCAGGGTCGATGCGATGGCAGTGCTGACCTCGTCCAGATACAGGTCACAGATTGCAAACGCCTCGTCCTCTTCGTCCATGAGATCATTAATGTCACGCCACTCGTTAGTGTGGGGCCCCGGGGATTGCGTGTTGAGCTGGTTGACTGTTGCAATCACGACTAGGCTAGACTTTTCAGACATTGTGTTTAGATGAAAGTGTTTGAAAGTGTTGGAATGAAAGACATCCGGATAACGACTCGCCTTAAATACTTTTTTTTTCTCTGGTCCACGCACCTCTGAGGGTGTCGTCGTTCAGGCGTGTGTGGTGAGCCACAGAAAAAAAAAAAGGTTACATAAAAGACGAAATGTCGACCAGTGAAATCATTATTTTGCATTTGATAAAAGAACAACATGTATTTGCATAGAACAATTATTTCCGTGACCCTGGTGCTGGGCTATGCCGTAGTAGCCAAGCCCCCAGTGGACGCGAGCCAGGACCTGGGCTGGGGCTCGGACGTGGACTTTGAGGACCTCGACCTGTGGCCGGTGCCTGAGGCGTCCGACGAGTATGTGCACCCTGGGCCCAAGGCATCGGACGAGTATGTGCACACTGTGTCCGTAGTCAATGCTCGATCTGTGGACGTGGACGTGGACGTGGACCTCTCTGAGGACTCTGACCTGGACTTGGACCTGTGGCCGGTGCCTGAGGCGTCTGACGAGTACGATGGGCCTGAGGCGTCTGACGAGTACGATGGGCCCGAGGCGTCTGACGAGTATGAGCGCCCCGTGTCCGACGACGCTGCGTGCGACGCCATCCTCGAGATCACGATGGCCGCGCACGGGCCGGCCAGCGCCTACTACAACGAGCTCATGCAGCAGATGGCCGCGAGCATTGCCAGCCACCACGCCTCCGTGACACTGTCCCCCGGGGCCAGAGCGAACACCGCCGGCACCACGGCTGGCTCGCTGGCGGTCCGTGTGCAGCCCAAGTTTGTCCAGAGCGTGGTGAGCAGCGTCCACGCGTTCGTCAAGACCAACGCGACGCTTGTTGAGACGTCCGTGACCATCGTCACCAGCGCCGTCTCCAGCGTCGTTGTCGCCGGCACGGGCCCCCTCGACAGCGTCGCCGAGGCCGGGTACGACGTTGTGACGCGGCACTGCCACATCCGGCACCAGGGGCTGCCCGGCTACCTGGATATTATTGGCGGTACCGTGCAGGTGGTAGACCAGCGCCCGCAGCGCTGGGCGCTCGAGTACACCGAGGAGGGCGTGTTTAGGATGCGCCATGGGCTGTACTATGCGGTCCCGGCCAGCGCGACACTTGGCTGCCCCCTGGCCTACAGTGTGATGCTGGCCACCGACAGGCACGGCAGCGAGTTCGTCCACACAAAGGACGGGTTCCTGACCAACGTGGACACGGGCAAGAGCATCGTGCACTATGTGGGCACGGACGTGTTGATGCTCGTGTTGATTGACCGCTTCCAGGTGCACGACGGACAGAAGTGGGAGCTCGTGGACTGCGTGGACAAGTGAGAATGAACGAAATTGGTGTATGTATGTATGTATGTATGTAGTGTAGGAAAAACAAATAAAAAAATCATGTCTGCATCACGGCCGCGACCGCGCTGTCCCAGTTCGGGTCCTCGCGCTGCTGGTTGGCAAACACGTACTGCACATTGTACTGCTTGACGCGTTCGAGGAGCGAGGCCTCCCCGAACGGCGTTTTGATCGAGTCGGGGAACTCGCCGCCGCTCGGCTGGGTCTTGTTGCGCTCGGCAAAGTTGAGCTGCTTGTAGTACGTGTCCTGGCTACTGCTGCCCTTGGCCGTGAGCGAGTCGTTGAACACGCCGTACCGCAGATCGTCGAGCGGCAGCCCGCTGAACGCGCCATCGATGCTGAACGAAAACGTCAGGCACTTGAACAGGCCGGCCAGGTGGTCCACGAACTTGGCCTGGTACTCTTTCGTGGGGTAGTTGACTCCGTGCTGGCGATGGTCCTTGCCGTCGTGGTACAGGTGGCTCTCGCTCCAGAAGCCCCAGCCGACCTGCAGGAATGCAATGCGCGTGTCCTTGTCGAACTTGGCCGCGAACGCGGTGAAGAAGTCGAGCTCAAACTGCTGCACGTCGGCCGATGACCAGTCGACGCCCACGAAGCCGTCCACCGTTACCTTGTTCGGCTGGCTGACGTACGAGGGCAGCAGGGACTTGTTGTCGTCGCCGCTGTTGGTGCCGCTCTGGTCCTGGATACGGACCACCATGGGGCGGCCGCGTGAATGGGCACCGGCGAGGTCCTTTTCAAGCGTGGACCAGTCGTACTCGCCGCGGGTGGTGGGGCTGAGCTCGGCCATGGTGTAGTAGCGCCACTCAAAGCCCGCGTTGAGGCCCTTGGCCTCCTGGCCGGCGTAGACGCCAAGCCCGATGCGGGGCATGCGGCGCTTGCTGACGCACGCCCGGGAGGTCAGGCCACCGGCGGCGGCGGCGGCGGCGGCGGCGGCGACGGCGGGCTCGGTGCTAGAGGGGGTGGCGCTCCCGGACCTGAGGACGGCGATGGTGGCGACGATGCCGGCAAGGGCGAGGATCAAGATGAACGCGAAAACAATTAGTAGCATGGCGAGGTACTTTATTTCTATTAATGATTTTATTTGGTATAAATAGCGCCGCACAATGCGCATAATTTTCATTCTTACACTGGAACAGTTAAAGAATGACCAAGGTAGCAAAGGCAAAGGGTAAGGTGGTAAAGGCAAAGGGTAATGTGACCAAGGCGACAAAGGATAAGGTGCCCAGAGTGCTGTGGAATTTCCAGACCATGGCTGCCGAGCTAGCTGGACGTGGACTCCAGCTGCTGCTGTTTGTCGGGGCCTCGCTGCCGATGACGATTCTCTGTAACTGCGACCGCCGGGAACAGTTTCAGGCCTACTGGTATTATCTACGCGACCGCGGCACCCGTTGCAAGTTCTGCAACCCAAACTCCCCGGAGAACACGTATGATAGGATCGCTCGGGACGTGGCCGCCGAGGGGTACAAGCTCCTGACACCGTTCGGCGAATTCAAGGGGGCCAGCAAGAAGCTGAGCATCCTGTGCCTGTGCGAGGAGAAGACTGTCGACATTACGATTGGACACTTCCGGACAGGCGGGGCGCGATGTACGGCCTGCGCGGACAACAAGCGGAAGGCAACAGTGAAGAGGCTCTATGGTGTGGACCATGTACTGAAGATCCCGGAGGTCAAGGCCAAGAGCGTCGCAACATTGCGGAGGGTCTATGGTGTCGACAATTCGATGCAGAACAAGGAGGTCAGGGCCAAGAGCGTCGCAACAGTGCGGAGGGTCTATGGCGTTGACCATGTATCTCAGAACAAGGAGGTCAGGGCCAAGAGCGTCGCAACAATGCGGAGGGTCCATGGTGTCGACTATGCAATGCAGAACAAGGAGGTCAGGGCCAAGCACGTCGCAGCAGTGCGGAGGGTCTACGGCGTTGACAATGTATCGCAGATCGAGGGGGTCAGGACCAAGGCCGCGGCAACAATGGTTGAACGGTATGGCTACGGGTACTCTGGCCAGGTTCCACACCTCCGAAGCCTGGCGAAGCGTTCGGGATACCAAACGCGTTCGTACGACTGGAAAAGTGTGTGACGTTCCTTCTACAGGGTTACGAGGATCTCACCTTGGAGCACCTTGGAACCCGACACGGATTCACTGCTGAAGATGTGATTGGCGACGATGACGAACGCGCCATTGTATTCGATTACCCAAATCCGCGCACTGGTGCCATGTCTAGGTATTTTCCCGACTTTTATGTACCCGAACACACGCTTATTGTCGAGACGAAGTCAATCTGGACACTTGACTGTTATTACGACCAGAACATGGCCAAGTTCCAGACCGTTGTGGACGAGGGGTTCACCCTCATGGTCCACGTGTGGCCGTCTCGGACTGCTCCGGTATTTGAAACAGTTATTCCCGCGTACCACAAGGATGTCAGCACCTTGACATACTACACAGCATGAGTAGGGTTTAGGGTTTTAGTCGGGCTCGGAAAATTATTGTTAAACTTTCATGAATAGAGTATTTTAAACTGTTAAAAATAAATACTAAAAAATGACAACTCCGTTAGCCACACTGGACTGGTCCAAGGGCGTAGAGTCACAGTTTGATGAACATGACATTAAGAAGATGGAGACAAACTACCATGATGGATTTGATCACTTTGAGGCTATTGAAGATCCCGATATCCAGCAGACCGTGATGCGCGTCGTGCTACACAAGGAAGATCTCGACTCTGACCCGGAAAAAAATCGTAATGAGATAAATGCCAATGACAAAAGTCAATTCCGGTTCCCCGTCAACACGATACGTACGGTTCAGTACTGGTACAAGATCGAGCACATCAGCTACTTTGGTTCCGGGTTCTACCACATTTTTCAAATTAAGGTAGGTTTGGGTTCACCCCTGTGTACTGTGAGTATAAAAAACGGGGATTTATCGGCAAATCCAGGTGATTTCGACCATGGCGCAAAGCTGTTTTCGGAAAGAATTAATTTTGGCACGTACGAGGATCTCATTGGGAAGTGGGTTTGCATCACGATTGCGACCAAGAACACGCCGGACGGGTACCTGAAGATACAGTTCCGCGACACCTCGGGAAAAGTCATACGGAACTTTGAAAAGTTCGATATACCAATGAATGATGAGGCGTACGGGGAGAGCGGGCGGATCAGGATGGGCCTATACCGCAAACGCGACGACGGGTTCAAGGACGACGACACACATAGTGTTTTGATTGCGAACATGAGCATGTACGACACGGACCTTATTGAGAGCGGGTACTACGTGCCGTTCGGCAACGCGGGCGGGGCGGCGGCGAAAACGTGCACGTGCACTAAACGGGCCCTGTCGCGGGAACGGGCTGTGCGCGCTGTAAAGGCGGTGCCGGAGATGTACGCGAGGGCGCAGCGGGTGGTGCGTTTGGCAAAGGTCACAGTACTCATTGTGGTGCTGGGGCTGTGCACGGGGGTCTACTGGACCTACGTGCAGTACCGGAAGCGAAAGACTGCCGGGCGCGGCTAGGCGTTGACCCTCCCCTCAAGCCCTGGTCTCCAGCGCAGCAATGCGCGCCGCCCACCGGGCGTGCTCTGCCTTCATTTCCACCAGTTCCCGCCTTGTGTCCGTGAGCTCCGTGGCCATCTCCGCCAGCACAGCTGTGCACACGAGCGTACATTGCACACGCGCCAGTCGACGAAAAATATATATATAAAGGATGACTGTGCTCGATCTGACCTCAGACAGCGATGTGCGCAAGAGCATTGAGGCCACGGGCATGTTCAGCGTGGACGAGCGGCCCGTGACGACCACCCACTACACGCTGGACAGCGGCCCCCAGAGTGGCATGGACGCCCTCAAGATCACCATGACGGACGCGACGGAGGACGGGGCTGGGAGCCCGAGTGACGAGAAGCAGCGGCTGGAGCTTGTGGGTAGGGAGATCTGCGAATCGACCTCATCCAGCGACCTAATGCGGCTGGGCATGTGGTACAAGATTAACGCAAACGTTCGAGGCTTTGGTCGCTTCTACTCGCTCGTGCAGTACAAGGCGCGGAACCATACGAGCCCGGACCCGAGTGTGCCGCTGGTGCTGACGGCCGACGAGGAGGACCTGGTATTGGAGTTCCCGAGCGGAAGCGCGGACGACATTACCGTCATGTCCCTCTCTGCGCTGGAGGAGTGGCACCACATTACATTGACTGTGCAGAACGCCACCAGTGGCAAGGGGACCTACGAGCTGGTCGTGGCGGCGCTGGACAACACGCCGGTGTTCTCCAAGAAGGGTGCCTTCAGAGACGCGTGGCTGGATGAGTACAAGTACACGCGTTTCCAGCTGGGGCAGTACAGGTACAAAGACAAGCCGTACAGATCGCCGTCGGTTGTGTGGATCGCGAACCTCGAGGTGACCAAGAACTCGCCGCTCGTGGGAGCGACGACGACGACGACGACGACGACGACGACGACGAAGCCAAAGTGCTCGGCGACGGTGTGCCAGCAGCGGGCTCAGCGGACTGGTCGAGCGTACCGGGCTGCGGACAAGCACAGG